TTGCAGTATGGCTTGTATAGTTCTGCTTCTGTCTGAACTGCACTGTCTCAGATTAGCTGTCACGATTGGCCTATGGCGTGTAGTCAAAAGCTGTGACACATGCACGCGTCATTGACGTCACTTTTGATATCTGATTAATCGTAGGTGTCCAGAAAGCGCAACGCGCCGCCCCATGTTGGTGTCATCTCGTAGACCTGGATCACCTCAGTACTGTACCTGAGTTTCAAAGATATGCCACCCGTTTTCGCGTGCTTGAGAGACGCTTCTTCACCCAGCTGTATCTCCGCGGTGAGTTACTTACGTCAAACTACCGGGCGAGAAATGAGGTACACAAACCGGTCTTAATAAACGAAAAAGAGTGAAAAAGCGTTATTTCATGACAGTGTTTTCTAACTTTTCAGTTCTCGCTTCATTTGCTCTGTATCTGAAGGAAGGTACTACCTATAGAAAGTTTAATATGATCCCATCTCGCAAAAAACAGCACCCTAAGGTGACATTGACAACGTTATATAGCGAGTATCTTCTGGTAGATCTGGGCTCGCAGGACACTGCCAACTAGCAGTAGCGGGAGCTGAAATACATCAACTACTTCACCCGTCCCTGTTTCAACAGGTTGGACCTGATCCACAGAGTTCTGTTGCCGGAGCCTCAATCTAACCCCGTAACTGAACCTGATCGGGCCTCTGTTTGCTGAATTAACTCTCCGAGATAACGCCATTCAAGCAGTTAAGCCTTCCACATTTTGGACAACGGACCACAGGCAAAATGTATCAGCCAATCAAAGGCCATACAGTTCAATCAGAAGTCGTGCGACTTGGTGAATCAGAACGGCGATTGGTTGCGCCACGTTAAACCAGTAATATTTCCTTTCTTACTACATCTGTGAACTAGTTCCTGCATCTCGGTGACGAACAATTCCAGCTTACCACTTCCAATGCAATGCCGTGTTTCGCCTGCCATTTCAATTCATGCTTAGTATCTATTCCGATTCCGTCACGCGTCGTTGACAATGGAAATTAGAACCAATCCTAAGGCCATCTTAAGGTCAAAAGAACAACGTAGATGCAGCTCATGAACCCTTTCCTTTTCCATACCATACACTGCAATCTTTCAGTTTCTTCATCAGTTTACCAAGTGCCTAAAGAAAATCAATCCAAAGATAAACTGAAATATGGACCTATTTCGTAAAGAGGCCGTTTGCAGATGTAAACGTTTGAAAAGGAAATCACAGCACAAGCTGGTTCGCTTAAACTTCATGTTCTCATCACCAGCTCTGAATAGTTTGCGAATCACGGAACACAGCCCGATGTAGTTATTCACGGGCGGTTCAGACAATAACTTTTATTGTTCACATGCTTATATGATCACTCCTGTTGCCTTGTCCCTAACTTGACCTACCATCCTTTTGTATTACTCCATGATCGAAACACATGATAAACTTGTCACCACACGAGAATGATTCAAAATATGATATAGTTCCTACGCTTACCAAACGACGAACCAATACAGTGCATTCGGATACTGGACATAGAAATTAAAATAATTGATCATTTATTCGTAGGAAAGAAACTCGCAAGCATATGTTTATCACTGTTATCACCTCAAGGTTAGATTTTCGTATACTGTTTTCACGAAAGATTGTATTTTACAGAACTTGTTCCGGTTCATCCGATTTTAGCTAGAATCAAGCCCGGTCACAGACAACAGGCAATTCAACACATTGGGCACAGGAACCTGTCCGACTGGTTTCCTCTAATGCAGTTTAGACGAACACTACAGCAAATAATCAGAGCATGTACTTTTCCATTTGATTGGTTACCTCATTGTTACTTCCGTGTGCAGGTTTAAGTTATCAGTTATTGCCCGAAGCCACAAACAGGCGCGCGCACACACAGGCATTCCGTGTGGGTAAGCAAACAACACTAAGATGCTCTAAGGTTGACCGAGTCCAATAGGATCGACCGGATAAATTTCGGTGACTTTAAACGACTGTTAGACAAAATCACTAAGTCATANAAGTCATATTTCTATGGGTTAATCCAATGTAATCAACAATTCAATGGGTATCCTCACACTCAAACTGACAAAATAATGTCCGTGATGTTTTTAGGTGCAATTAACCAGAGCAACTTGTTCAACATTTCGTTGCTCGATGCAGGCGTTCCGGAGGAATACTACTTGAAGTATGTTTCATGCGGCCTGACCACAGAGCGGTTTCGGCGAAATTAAACACAATCTTACATGACCATACCGCCAGATAGTCGCCAAGGCAACAATGACAGAAAATTCAAATAGCTTCTGCTGCCAATATTCCAATTGTTCCAAATGAGAGCGATAGTTGATCGCGGTTGCCGGAAACACGATAACCATGATCTCATTCGTCATTGTTCTGTGGGTGGCAAAATGGAACAGCGAAATGATATGATCAGTTTCCTCTCTAATGAAAAGCTAACATTAGTTCCCCCACAAGTCAGTAACAGTTTTGTCACATCAGCCCTGAAAAATCATTCCTGTGGTATGTTGGCAAGAATAACGAAAACCCGGAAAACACTCGAATAGATAGAATCACTGAGAGGATTGTAAGTGGTATTTGGTCAGATAGAGGAAAGAATTGAGGAACGGGTTCGTCAACTTCCGTTACTATTGTGGGAGCGCTATCGTGACTGTGATATGCACTTTGTTCAAACATTCCAGGCGATTCCTGAAATCTCCATGGTGAAGGGACTTTCTTTTGATTGATAAAAGTTTCACAATCCGGTAAAGAGCACCAAAGTGCGGTGCAAAGAGGAGCATTGAAGAATTCGCCCACTGGATTGTCTGATGTGTTCTGCGATCCCTCGTCCATGAAGTGGTTAATAAAATTTGTTGGCGTATATTTTCTGTTCAACGAATAAGGACGATAATCAATGAGGTGTACAGGCGCATTGAGGGTTGACCTGGAGCTACGATAGGCAAATAGAGTGGGATCACTCATCGTCTATATTCTCGAATTTGATTATCGTCTAGTATGAGGCAACCCAATGTCAGAAACACGAGATATGGTAAAAACCTTATCAATTTACATTTACACGGCTGTCTATTGAATTAACTCATTGCTGATGAAGATGGAGATGGCAGTTGGGAGGAGGGTTATATATGACCGGTTCCCCTATGTCGAAAGTTGCGGATTCCAATAAAATATCATCGGTATTCTATTTCGCAGTGTTTATCTTTTTCTCACAATATCGACATCATTTTTACTTAATCTTCGGTTCTTGATCACAATGTGGTACCTCATTAGGATGGTTTCATTTCTGAGAGATAAAAATTCTACGCGGATAAGGAACCTAATGTTTTAAATCGTAATAACACAGTGCTGCTCACGAACCCGTTCCGCTGTACGTTGTTTCAAAAATCAAACAAACGAATATATGCACATACAACCAAGCAATTTTTCTTGTTCGCGTTCGATTTACAAAAGCAGGTTGACTGTCGAGCACCATTCGAAGCGAAGCGATAGGGTTTCACCTGCGAACTCTCCGCTTTGTGCCCGGAAGTGGTATGCTACCTCGTGGTGCACCCTAAACATCTAGAGCAATTTAGATAGTTGGACGGATGAATAAACAACTCTGAGACAATTGTGCATCTCCCATACGGTAACCTGAGAGGTAATCTCTGCTTTCCGAAAAACGCTTTTACTTCATTTGTAGTAATTGGGCATGCAAATGTATAGCCAACTTTCAAAGTGTGTCTGTGGCCTAGCAAAGGCTATTGGAGGAAAGACAGAAATGAAGAAATTGGGTGATGATGTCGGATTTTGAACTTACGAAGTTTAGGTAGTTCTTTCTGGATTGTATATATATTTGCATGTCAACGGCACGTGAATATTATCTACATTTTTTCGAACTAATTAATGATCAATTAGTTTTAAGAGAAATCTTTCTTACAAGGTTTAATGAGAATATTCGTACAGGCCGTCAAATAGTACTGTACAGTTAACTTTTTTTCAAACAACAAGTCACCACATATGCAAGCTCTGTATCAGGTATATTTTCAAAGAATAGACTAAGCACGCGTTGAATATAAATAACCATGCGTTGAAGTGTCCACTATCAACCATGCAACTCAAAGGGGCAAATATTGCAGCTTCAGAACCCATTGATTCAATATTGAAGTCCCGAGGGAGGGAACAAATTGTACACGATTGGCAACATGAATGAAATCACCATTCAGTGGTTTATCTCAATTTACACACAAGTGCGTTAAAATGAATAAGCACGGGTGCGGGGGGAGCGTTGTTGAACTGCTAACGGAACTCGAAGCACACAACGCTTGCAAAAGCATACATGGTGTATTCCCTTGAATGTAAAGTATTCAATTGTTTGCCGGAAGGCTCCATATGGTCATCCAGGGTGAGTATTCAGGATGACCGGTGACCCGTGAGTGCATCAAATTGTCTCCAGAGAGCTGACTCACATCCTGCCCGGTTGGGCTTAAAAATCAAACCACTTGCGAATTCCTCATCCAGTCCACGCAGCGGGTCGCATATAAGTCGCTGATGAGCCTCGACAAATAGGGGCAGATAGAATAAGAATGAGACGAAATCCAGTGCATCGGTATCGGTGACGCCCAACAGTTGAAGAACTTCGTACAGTCGATCGTGATTCAAACCGGATCCATGGAGTAGCACGCGCAATTGGTCCGCGTATAAAAATCCTGGTTTTAGTATACGTTCGTTGGTCATTTCTGACTCTGGTTTGAACCATGACCCAATATCTTTGCGCATGTATCGATCTTCAAACTGTTTGAGTCTGTCTTGACCACCAATAAGAACAAAGAGCTCCTAAAATATATTTTAGAAAACGTAATTATTTGAAGGGTGTTTTCAGATCAAGTTGAGAATTCAATCACAGTTAAGAGAGTGGGAGCAGTTTTAATTTGAAAAAGGAGGAGTCAACATTTTCGAAATGCTGCTGCAATAACCTTGAACTGTTCAATGTTACGTTACCGCAAATTCGTATGAAAGGTGAAGTAATTTTTCGAGTTATCTATCTATTTATCTATCTAAGTATATATATACATATATATATAGGTGATGAGACGCAAACAGGTCAAAACAGCCGTCCAGTGCTTCCTAGTACTTCAGTTCACGCATCAGTTACAAGATGAATTCATGAAACTCATTATCATCATCAGATTACAAATTTCCGACGGTTTTCTAACATTTTTCATTAAAAAGCCCAGCATAATTACGCTGTCAGACGCTTCTCCGTTTTTCTCAGCTATCGATCACCAACAACATAATTTAATCGATTGTTATCCGGTGTAAGAATTTAACATTAGAGAAAACCAGAACTGTCCCTACAAAACAATAACTACCTACCTTTTTGTCTATTTAGGATGACCGCGGCCATACATGGGCTGCCTGGGGAAAAACGGAAATGAAGACATCAGCGGGACTCGATCTTAGGTTGCTATTTTGGTGACCCTCAGCACTCGATCATCTCGGCTTATCCAAATCAGTGAACCATTGACAGGATAGTTTTTGCCGCTATATTCCCACAGGCGTGTTATGGGCTCGTGATTTGAGTTGCAACCACATCGAGACCAATTTATCTGTGTAGTGACAGGTAAAACTCTCCTGTCAGCCCCGAGATACACACATTTGACCCAGTCAATCTTGTGTAATAAAGCAATGCCGCTACAACAGGTGAATAGGTGCTTAGATCCCCACAGACTAAGTGGTTGTAAATTTGAAACTCATCACTGCAGCCATAATCCTACTAGTAACATTTTCTTCGTTCTCAACTCCATTCCCAGTGAAACGATTTTGTGTAATGAATAACAATATCTATTAGCCTTACTATTATTGTTCTGGTTAAACTGCATGCTTACTTCAAATTTTACTAGAGATTAGTGTGGTTCTTGAGGAAGTAGGTTAATGCAATTAATTTTACCCAAACTGAGAACTGACAATTAATCAAGTAGCCAGTTTATCAAAACCATTCTCCAGACAAGTGACTTTAAGCTTTATTTGACTATCTGCAGTCTAGTTTGTGTATGTATTGTACATCTTTCATACCAATTTGTGGTCGATCGAAACTCGGTATTGATGAGGTTCCGAAACAAGTGCTCCTATGCGTATATCCCACTTTATCAGCTCCGTTTGAACCGGACTCAGCACGCAACTACTGAATAGTTCTGTAAGTAGGCACAAAATATATGCGTATTATAGAAAGAATACAACAGCCAGTGTATCCATGTGGTATTATTCTCTTCAAAGTGCATCGAACCGTAAGAAGCTTCACACATAAGGTAAAAGTTTCAATACCAAGTGCATCGAAGCCTCAATTTTTGCTTTCCAATTTCATTGAACATGCTTTTACACAATGTCGGTTGCTGATGAGCGTCAGATCGTCTAAAAATGTCAGTTTATCATCAGAATCTTTTTCGATGGTCTCTTAATTTGGTCCTCGAAGTATCAAGCGATGGTGCAAATAGGTCCGAGATTTACTCGAGGTGACGTGTCAGTAATAAGCTCACAATTATATGTTGGGCACTATCGAGTATAGACAGGGTGAGGTTCGGTCTGATCTGTTGGCTACCGGTAGGTTGGAGTTTTATATGTGCGCTTTTCTCATGAGATCCCCGATTCGATGAGCAGTTATTTCGGGAGATTTACACTACCGATATATTGTAGACCTTCAAGAAGTTGGCCGCGGCCACAGAAAGTCTTCCAGGGAAATGCAGAAAACGAGATGCATAATTGGACGATGCTACTTTTTGATGGTACACGTCTCGGAAACGCAACCCCTCCCCCTACTCTTTCATGTGCAGTTCACAGAATAACNTGCTTTCTCTCAAAATGGTTGGCGAGCAAAAATTAATCATGACCAGTACTGCTCGTTGCCGCTCTGTGCACGAAAAGAATTTCAACTGAGAACAAACTGGCACATTGGTCATGCCCAATCATTATGAGATCAACTAACACTGTAGCATGACAGACGACAGTTGGACATGATGGCTGAAAACACCAAAAGAGTACTGCGTATTTTATACCCTCTCTATTTCTCTCTTCTTCTCTCTCTGAAGGCCAAATGACCCTCAAGCTGATGGTACAAACCGTTAAAGCAATACGTTTTTCAAGTTTAGCAATAATCGGAAGCTTTTCCTCATTGTGCTTATCACCTGTTTCACCATTCAGTGTGTACGCTTGTGGTAGTCCAAAACACCACACACCAATCGATCGATTTTTGATTCCGACATGGAACAGAATTAGCTTTCGCAAAGTTTGGATTATCGGTTCAACTTGCGGAGGTATATGAAATTCATCAGGTAACACACGCAAGCTGATTGCGTAGACCGGTTTTCCCCAGAATCCACCGGTCGGACTTTTAAAGCAGAGTTGCTTGTTACATTATGTTAGTTGGCATATTTAAATGTTTCTAAATTGCGATGAATTCAATAACTTCAGTTGGACTTGAGACCTCGGCATTGACGCCACCTTTGCTTCTGAAAAGCTAGATCATCAGAGCTACGAGGCTTCACCGATAGCAGTAGACTCTTCACATTTGCATTACCCGTCAGATCACGCGTGAATCTGGAATGACATCCAGTTGACTTACTCGGGCCTTTTTCAGTTTCCACAATAAGGCTTCCAGACCTGTTTTGATACGCATTGGCTTCAATAGGTGCCTGCACGTTAAACAGAGAAGACATTCTTAACCTTAATTTATTTGATTAACGCAACAGCTAGTTAAAATTCATGTTACGAGAATGACTGAAATCTGTTATGAATTTTCTAATAAATTACCAAATTTGAATCAAGTAGTTGTTTTTATAACTGCTACTGTTACTTTAAAGACATTCATGTTTGCAATAATTATTATTTGAATATATAGTAGAAAATGCATTTGGAACGACTTGGAATAAAAAAATTCTGTTTGTTTGTGTCCCTTGAGTTGGTAGGTTTCGCATATGTACATTTCCCGATTTATCTGGACAGTATTATCATTGTAACTTTGGGAAGGCCGTAATGGGTGTTGTGGTTCTGTTTGACTATAAAAAATGCGCGCCATGATCTAAACTGGCATGAGAGTGAATATCAGTCAATCGAACGTTGTGTCCAAATGATCGTTCTTATTAGAGTACAAGTTTTATCCATTATGCTTCTTTAGGCTTCAAATCAAATGATGAATTTTGTTTTACTTTGGCATGTCATTTGTTTCGCTTACAAATTATTAGAGCTAAACTCTCTGTCCGACTCGACCTATAGATAGGGATTACAGTTCTAGCCCCGGTAGTAAATATACAAGTAGCTGTGCTGAATTTCGTCCTTTTCTCTAGGGGAAATCAGAACGAGTCAAATGCGTCGACGTTAAGTTATCACTTAGTTCAAAAGACCAGCCATTACTTAGATCGGGTTGCTTGAAAATGGGGCTTTCTGTTTGAATAGGAGGGCAATTTCTCACTCACCATAAATGTAGTCCCTTGATTTAATTAAATGGACAGAATTCCATCCTCAAGCCGTATACAATGACTCAAACCCGACAAACCAAGTGACCATAAATGATCCTGGCGAACCACTCACTGAATGGCTCTAGTCANTTCGCTCCTTCTACTCACGGTTCTTATTGACGCTGACTCAGATCAACCACATCAAGATCAAACTATGGGTTCGTTTGTGGCCTCATAGTTTGCTCCATTTAGGGAACTTCCTAAGCCCTGTGCTTCATTATTATTTTGGCAATAAATTTTGATGTTTTTCTGTGATGGCAACGGTTTTTATCTGACACGTGACTCATTTTAACTACATCTAAAGCATTGATTTGAATCACGAAATCCAATCGACAGGATTAAGCACATTTTGTGGGTCAGTTTTCTGAAAGCAAATTTGATACATTACTCTCTTTCGTAATCCCAACTCATTATTTATGTTCAATGATCATTTAATTGTTAAGTCCACTATTGATTATGGCTTATTCCATTTGATTTGATTCACTTTTATTATTTGGTGCTTTGCGAACTGCCGGTATCAGATACCGGTGCCTAGAATGTTGTGTTGGAATGCGAGAGTCAGTTTCAGGACCTGCCACTGTTAACCGCCCAATCACAACATCGTCTTGCAGAGTACTACAAAGACTCCTTGCCGAACGATGATCGTAGCTTTTTCTGCCCTCATCGCACGTTATAGGGCATTACGTAGGCTACGACAGGATGGCACGGTTTTCGGCACAGTGCGTGACGAGCTCGAACGCAGGGCGGCGTTAAATAAACAGCCAATCAAGACAATTCAATGGCATTTTTAGAGTTCTACTGACATTATAAAAGTCTGAAAAATCTTGGTGTACTCTTGTATCATTTGTGCAGGCACAACAAGTGGTATAGAAAAAAGTGTATGAGTAAAACAAAACCCATGAATTTTTAAAATCTTTCAGATAGACACACTGGCCACTGAAAACTATAAAAGTAGCAGGTTTCAGATTGTGAAATTCACAAAATCTAATAATATTATACCCGACATGAGTGTTGAGTTATTTTCCAAAATACGTTACATTCATATGTACCCTGTAAACGTTGGTCGTTTACGGAGGTGAACGAAGAGACCCATAGATAACTTTTGATTACCATGAAGCTGGTTTTCCTATGACAATGAACAGGTTGCATTTTAGTCCGGTTATAAATCTGGATTCCGTTCAATATCCACAATGACCGATCTGCGGTAGGCATCACAATTTCGGACGTCATATGCCTAATGAGTGTCATAGGAAACAAACTTATCTGCAATACACTTAAATCACATAAATGTCCGTTTCTTGGACCATATTCCATTGAAGGTTGAATTGATAAATGAAATCTATCTGACTCTTTGTGAAATTATCCTTCGACAGGCATTCAGTAAGGGATGTAATGAATTTTCACCGATTGAGTTACTGCTAATTGAAGGATACATACATTGGAATATGCAGAATGATGAATGTGACTCTGTGCTGGAGATGAGACTGAAATTACCAGTAAACACCGGGGCGGTGAGATCGTAACTTTCCACCGTCACCAAAGTGATTGTCATGTGATTACATCTGCATTTGGTTTAAGCACCATAAAAGCGAATAACTTTGAGACATCTGGAAAATATGGTAAACATGCTTACTCCAAACTAATTGTTCTTTCGGACAGCGCTGCCAAACAGATGAACAAATGCAGATGGATCTTCGTTTGCAATGGAAGAGAAAATAACTGAAACCAGAATAAAGGAAGTAACAACGCCGTGTCAACCGAAAATAGTTCTATCAAAAGGTAATCAAAACTTCGTTAAGTCTGGTGCAACCTTGTAAAACAGAAACCTTCCATAGTTGTTTCCTACCCAGTGCTCCTTGGGCGTATACTACTCACAAGTAGTACATTTATGACAATTTGTTTTTTTGAAATGAAATAAAATCAATTTCCATGGTAAATGATTTTGATTGATCACGTCTTATCATAGCAACAATCTAACGCCACCAAATTGATGCAGTCCTGACCAATTTCACATTTTATTTATGTGGCTTACATCGAGAGGTCAGAAAAATTCGGATGTACAGCTAATCCAAGCTAACTTTGCTTTGTCTGCAACCACCTTTACGAGGGCGAATTGATGCGAATTAATGAGACATCAACATTATTTTTACTTATAGTTTTAGCTTATTAAAGTTTAATCGCATTGCTACATATCCTGCCAAATTAGTCCTGTCTTCATTGATCAGCTACGGGTCTGGTTCTGTTCTCTAGAACATGAAACATTTTTCGACCCCTGATGATTTCATGTGCCCACCAGAGCACCTGTACAAGATGTACAAGATTAACTCAACACTTTAAAAACTCTCGTATGTATACAGATCGGTCCAGTCTTTCAGATACAATGGAAAACAGGACAGAAATAAGACTGATAGTTATAAAGTGATAAGCTTTACCTTATTAGATATGCCGAACCGGGTGTTATTTTTATTTTTATTGACACATTATAGGTAGTATCTGCATGATTATTTAATTCCAGGAGATAAATTCAGTCAGTTAGGCATCTGGTATCACTTCCTGATCGTTTGTATGTAAATGAGCCCTGATGATTCGATTGTGATGCATTCGAGTGACATGTGGCAATACAGTTGCTAACGCTTGATGAATATCTAATTGAAAACCAGAATGCTAGTACAATTTAAGGGATGCTGGAACCATCAGCTGAGTGAGTAGTGCAAAGAATGATAGTGAGCTACAACTGTTCTTCTTTTCATTCCAAGAAGCGCAAACAGCACCACCTTTCTGCAGGCATGCATCTTTTAGGACAAACAGAAGTTATTCTCCGTGGAAATCGTTGTAGTAGCCGACAAAGGGCGCAGGACTGTCCTGTCGTTTTTAACATACATCGATAACGCGTACTTCTGGTACCCTGCCTGGACTAAAAAAGCGGAATTCAAGACCATTATACTGAGTTACAAGTCTGACATTCGCCTCGACGCGCAAAGAGCTCAGACAATTCGAAGTATCGTGTTTTTGATTAACCTATGGGGTTCTTCGCATGCACCAGATATTAGTAATGATATTGGGACAGAAAATGAACGCATTACCCTCGAGTCCCTTACTGGATGAAACAGATGACCAGTGATTGCTCTTTGTCGATCACCATATCAATTTCTATCATAAACATAAATGCATGAAGAAAATGGAAAATTCACAACCTCATGCTTTACTCAATCTGCACACGTTGAATACCCTTTGTTTAAAATGGATGTGTGTGATGACCAACTACTGGGTTGCAGAGTTTTAGGTTCTATTCCTCCGAAGAGTTGTAGTTCTACAAGGGACCGTAAGAGTATATACTGCTGATAAGAACCAACGAGGTCCCCGCTTTAACAGCTCATATTTGTGCGGTTCACGATACTTTTCATTGATAATCATGAACCTTTAAAATAATACCAGAACATGCAAAATAGATTCTAGGTGATCTCAAACTGAAAACGGTTTAGCACATTATGCTACGAATGATGAACAGAAAACAACTCAAGAAAAAAAGAATTTCCGCGTCAGTCCAGTTTTTTCAGTCTTATCATCAATATTTCGATGACCCAAGTTACCGAATTCTCTCCAATGTCAAACTGTCGAAATCAATCATGTGGGTTTCAGGAGCTAAAATCCGACTGTGTCCTTTGTACGCAGCATGCAATTTTAAGTGCACGCCATCCTTAAGAAATAGCAATTTATCAAATGTTTCCAAACAAACAATCACTTTAGTCGTTTTGTCAAAACCATTGGCCGCACATGATGGATTGCAAATGAATACAGATGCAGTGAGAGCTCATATCCAAATGCGTCGATCTATACTTTTATCAGTTTCAGCCTCATCTGCTCTCAACCTCACGGGCTGAAACAATGTTGGCTGCCTAAACTCATCTCCACAGGTATCACATCATCCCCGACAATGTGCTTATAAACTAAATAAGTGCATTTTGGTTAATGAAGCAAATGTGAGACGTATTCATTCCGACTGCTGGTTAATTTGCCCTGCGTTTTCGATCAGAACTAGGGAATATCTTTCTTTTCCTTTAGGTAAGGTATAAAGTCATGAATATGAATGGGTACATTAAGATAGAAATTGAGTACACACCTATTCAGTTTAATCACAGTTCAATCGTCATTCGATGACACTGTACATCATGTTATCGCCCAAGGACCGGGAGTTAACTTCTTGTCTGAACCACCATCTGTAAATCACATAAATTTCTCCTTTGCTTGCTCTTCCAAACATTCATAGCAATTGTGTTTACACCAGACCGTGTGAATGCCTAATTCAAAGATTATTGTTTGGAGTTATTTTCCTCCAGAGGGTACAACTAATTCCTTTATTTGCGAATCGGTTTCGGTGATTTTTAAGAAAAGTGATTCAAGCGCAAATGAATTCATGTTTCCATCTGTGAATTCATTTGATCAATTCACATATAATGTATGTGAATGGTAGATACGAGCTGACAAAGCGATGAAACAACGTTCCCAATTGGATAAAGTATTCCTCGTAAGGTGAAGCAGTGTGTGAATGAACCAAGCAAAACCACAAGCATGGCTTATCACCTAGGGAAACGTACCAAAGGCAAGCGTTTGATCTGTTCGCTGGTAAATGTGAGATCGGAATTGACCAACTGTAACGCGTAGGCCAAATCCTCCACGGGAATTATAGTTCGCTTGAAAAGGAGAAGCAAGTAAACATTATCGATCAACCACTGAGATTCATAAATTCAGATTCCAGATTTGGAAAAAGCAGGGAACAATTTCAGTGAAGAATAGATTTATACACCCAAAAGATGACTTATCAGTAATTTAAAACCTNTGCAACTGGGACATATAGAAATTGCGGTCTACAAAGAATGATATAAGGGATAAAATACAAGTGTCCGTCTCCGAGGTGGGTGATTACTGTCTTACGACTAATAAAGAGCCGAGCAAAGTATGGAATCACGCTGTTTCTCTATATGCTTGTAGATGTGTGGGGGTACGCGCGGGACGGAGTTGATATTTGGAGCGCTTTCGGGGATTTGACAAGGCTTTCACGTTTTTGCGCTACAGGTAGTGCCCTGAATCACGTGAAATTCTACAAAGAAACGTATCGCAAAGGTCGAAATACTCGAAAATTAAAAGAGCCAACAGACACGCTTCAAACAATATCACTGTATCGCAACAAATACGTGAGGGACCTGAAAAACAAGGTGAAACCATTTCCTTTTAAACTGAGGATAAAAATCGGGGTGGCAGTAAAACCAGTATGAGAGGATGCAGACAATCAGGAATTAATGAATAAGAGATCATGGAACACAAAGTTTCCTCAACCTGTAAAATATCAAAAGACAATCTTCAAAATCATCTAAAAGTTGCAATGAAGAGTCGGGTTATTCCACCACTAAGCCCCTCGACGTTGACATAATGAGTGTTGAATGATGCTTTTTATAAGAAAAACAGCATAAGATATGCAGGAAAGTATAACGTTCATAATTAACGTTTTGGCTAAATAACCAGTCACCAGGTAATAAAGCAAACAATCCTAGATCACTGCTTGCACCAAATGCATTCAGAAATGAGACTGAGTCCACATCACAGATTCGTGAGGTGAACAGATTGCACATATGCATTTTCCCCGAGAGAACAAATATAATGGGAATATTTATAGAAATCTCTTTGAATGATCAACGTCCCGACACAAACAAAAGGTCTCGTACGCACCTTATTTGATCGAGCTAGGATTCTGTGTACTCCGGATGATATGGAGATTGAACTAATTTGACTCACGGAAACTGAAAAGCTCACTGGGTACCCAGGTTTACACAAAGGTACAGTGTAAAATCCGAACCCAAGACCCCGGGGATGACAGCACCAAAATGTGACTTTTTCATTCAACTGCCGTTCAAAGGTGATAATGCTGGCCAACGTTTACGAAGACGGCTGGTGGCCTCGGTAGCCCGCACATATTTTGCTGCCAATCGGGTCGTACGCTTTGCCACAAATCAGATTCCGAAGCTTTTGGTGAAATCCCTACTCCCTATGTCCGCCCAATCACACGTAATTTATGAATTGCAAAGTGGGTGCGAAGCCGCCTACGTAAGCCGATCGAAGAGGAACCTGCGTACCAGACTGACCGAACACGTGCCCATATGGATCGAACGCGTGCGGATCAGATTGAGGGCTACACCGACAACTAGACCATCAAGCCAGCTGCACAGAACACCCGCATCATCTGCCGCTCCTAATCCGCTGCAGACTGGCTATCAAGCCGACTGCGGGGCTTCTTTTGGGGTTGTTTATATAACCTCGAATAGACGGCTGCTAAGATTTGCAGAGCAAATAGCAATCAAAAGCCGAGACCCCCTGCTTTTTTAGCAGAAGGTGGTTTACATCGGTCTGATATTACCTTGGTAACCACCTGATTGGAAGAGTGAATTGATAACATGTTAGATTATGAACACATGTGGGATGTAAACTGTCTTCTATTCTGCAGTAAGCATCAGCTGAGATGCAGCGAAATGATTTCGGAAACAAATCATGTTCACTTAAAGGTTCAAGTTCATTTTGAGAAATAATTTCTTTAACAAACAAGAAGAAGTATGAACGGAGAGATTTCACTAAGTTTAAAATGTGCGTCTACGTCTTTAATTTTCATGCGCAGTCAAGCCAAAATAAGAGGTCAGTAATTTCTCACATACTAGGAGGAGCACCAGGTTAGTGGAAAGATCGAAAAGACACGTAAAACAGAAGCTTATATGAGAAGATGGATCCATTTTGCTTGAAAATTAGCTAAGGGTTTAACACAGGCAATTACAGTTTAAAAGATGCTGATGAACTGTGATATATCGTTAGGCTCACTTACATCGTGAAAACGCTCATTAGTGAAATTGATGTACAGCCAAAGAGCCAAACAAAACGTCGGACATGGTGCAGTTTAGCGGAGATCAGTCATTCCTACTCAGACGCATCGGAAAGTAGCTTACTTCAGTGGAACTGTGTGTGTGGAAACCTGGTTAGGTTTACGTTCTTATGCAACTGAAAAAAGCCAAGTAGGAGGTGTAATGTGTATAATGATTGCCTACAGCTGCGTGGGACATCTTTGATTACATTTGATTAGAGAGTGCAGAACAAAACCAAAATAGGCAAGGTGATTCCGATTGAAGTCACCAGATGGCACACTGTTCGAGGTTACCGGTCAGTATTTGGACGTGATCTTTGACCGGGATACGGGAATAAATGGAACTCAGTGTAGTGATCCGGGCCTACGAGATGACGCCTACTCTGGAGCGGCGCCTTACAGCTTTTGGACAAATGCGATCAACTAAACTCCATGAGTGATGCCAACAACGCATTTACACGCTTCTGACGTCATATCACAGACAGATCGTACCAGCCAATCAGAGACCGTGCGGCCAGACAGAAGCAGAACGATACAACAAATACTGGAACGCGATTGGAAGAAGCGCGGATGATCAAGGAGTTTGTTTTATACATAATACTTTATTTCTTTTATTTCTTCCAATAAACGAACTATCATTCCTGTGGCCTTTTCCTCGCGTCGCAGTTACGTGGGATATTGCGTGCTAGTGCCAGTGCGGTCCAGTGCTTAAGTGATTGCTAATCCTTGATTCGTATTCTGTGATCCGTATTGCGCGGTTCGTATTCCAAGTTCAGTGCCTATTACTACTGCTACTACTAAAACTACTACTACTATTACTACAATCAATACACTCGGTAACGCCGCTCTTTTGTTGTGTAACCTAGTTGCTACAGTTGCAACATGCATACATACATTCTTTGCACAAGCTGTTTTCTTACTTGAATATGCACTAGCAACAGTAGGTCTCAAGTCCAATGTTTGATAGGTGTATGATTGGTAAGCGGAACTAAAGAGTTTGAGGGAAGATAAAGCACAATGAATGTTTTGGTTAGAATTATCAACGCACATTTTCCGACGCTGTGCATGCACGTTAAAAAGTAAAATTTGTTATTTCATTTACAAACTGTATCTGTTTCTTTGAGAGGAGTGGAGAATATGATGCGGTTAATAAGTAAACTTCGCGGTTGAATATGGAATACTTCAACCGAGTTTTGAACCAGGATGCTAGTGGTAGGATTATCAGGGTGTGGTGCCCACGACAAGTACGTCAAAATCAGATTTTCCTATACGACAAGTGAATTGAATTGAACCGAAAAATTTTTGATCGCTATTCAGGTTACATTAACCACTGGAATATTCGTGTACATCTTTGCTATCCCGCTAAATTGTCAACTGATTTGAAATGACTCCCCTTCGGACTCCACGTTCATGCACAATCCTCAGTTCATGGATTCAATCATACACTCAGAAGCACTAGGCTCAAGCTCTAAAAAGAAAGAAACTCGAGTCTTGTGCTTTCGAGTGTAGGGGTGAATCGATGAACTGAGGATTGTGCTGGATCGTGAAGTCCAACGGATAGCCAGTTCAAATCAATCAGTATCAATTATCACCCACCGCACACTCACCAGTAACTGTGAATCAAATGAGAATCCTCTCATTTACTCACATCAAATATAATGTGTTCCAGTCTTTCAGTTCACGTTTTATGTGCTGCGTGCATGATGAATATCACAACGAAATGGATTATAAAATTACTTCTCTAGTACCAGGGGCTGTGCGGTTTTTGCTATATGTGATCTTCGTATTCTGATGTTGGTATGCCCAATCAAATATTACTGCAACCCGTTTTTATTCTCCTTTGGCTTACCACTAATTGAATGACCTTGAACCGTTTCAGTCCTCCTGCAGTTCTCCTGCGGAAACCTCAGTCAGTTGTTGTTGCATAGTCCATCGCATAAGAAAAAATATTTTCCTAAATGAAACCTCATCACATTTTTTGTCCCGCATTGCCATAGCCTTCTAGGAGTAGTTGGGATTTAACGGTGAAAATATAACTGTCTCTTCCTGACACGGAACAGACTACACTGACTCTGTGCCCTTTATGGTGTACGGAACAAAGATAAAAAAATTTAGGTGATACAAATATAAGCACATCACTTGATTTTGATTGATAAAGGACCAACTAAAGATTGTCTGTGCAACGTACAGATATGGGACAACAGATAGTCGGTGTTGAGGTGATTTTTAACCAAAACCTCCGGATAGCTATTCCGGAAACGTAAACCACTCGACCACTCATGTACCGTTTGACTATCCCTTCAAGTTACTCCTTCCAAAAGTAATGCGGTACAGTCCGATGCACGACACAAAATCAAACAAAAGAAAACATCCTCATACCTCGAGATATTCGTAATTCTTCAAATATTTCGCGTAAATCGCTCGAACCAAGTTCTCCGCGTTTGGTCGATTCAGACTGGCTCGTTCTCTTATCTGGGCTGCCTGCATAAACAGGTTCCACTCTCGCTCCTTTCGTTCCAAGGACCGCTTGATCGTTTTGGCTTCGAGCTTGGTGACTGTGACAAGGTTCGATAATCGTTGTAAACTATTCTCGTACATAATCTGTCGTGATCAAAATTAACAACAAAAAAACGATTATTTCACACCGTTTTTCGATGAGAGTGGTATTTATCGTACCTTGTCTATGCTCGAATATGCGCTGATCGTGAAGACTACTGATGAAATGATCGGGAAGTGCGAATTCCCANAATTCCCATTACAGAATACGCAAAACGCATCAAGCTCACAAGGAAACTAATGCTTTGGAAGAATAACAATCGTACTGTACTTGTTTGATCCACGCTTACCGGTAAATGCCAGCTTGCTCAGACCTCCCCGGAAGATCATCCCTTTAGACACNGACTACACTATGATTGTTACATTGCTGTCCTCTTTTCACCTTCTTCAGTTTAAGATATGTGTTCCCAAGTCCACTTTGTGCGATCACACCTGACCAACGAATGTATAAACTCCTCAATTCAAATGATCGATTTTCGTTGGTCGCCTCTTTACCCACACTTCCTCGTTATTGTCTACAAATATATTTTTCGTTTAAGTTCAATCAAAAGTGAAAACGACTTATGATTATTGATCAAAATCAATACTCGCTCAGACGCAATACATATGGGGGCCGGTTAACGTGATAGATTACTGAACAGAGACCTGGGACAGTTGTTGATGTATGAGAGAACGTGATGTGTTCAGTTTGTGGTTGAGAATAGAAAATTGAGTCTATTTTATCCGAGGCCATGTGGTCCTTAGTCTAGAAGAACACGATTCAAGAAAGCATAGAGCTGGGGGATTGAACGTGTTACGAGTTGATTAGCAAAGCAATCGTAAGGTAAGTACAAACAGATACCAAACAGTATTGATCGATATTTGGGAAGTCGACGGGAAAGGCTGATTCTGCGAGCGCTATCTAATGCGGATGAGCAATGATTGGTTGCATCTGATTATCCGCTTCATTCATCCTGAATAGATACAGGGATGCAGCACTATATTCACAAACACATTCGGACGAAGGGTAAGCAGTTGTGTGAACATGTAAAACTTTGCACTGAATCCTTGATGCTCAGGCAAACATTTTTCCACAATATACGTTACTAAAATGGAATGCGGTATTCCACTCATGCTGGAGACTGTCCTCTATAAGTGGAACAACTACCGTGGAAAAACAATAGACCAACGAGAACTTTCCAAAGGATTTGCAGATTTCCTACTCTTGTTGCACCTGCAACCAGGGCATTGTATTTTGTGCTTGATTAGGCAAAAAGTAAAGCCGCTGTTATCCACATTGTGAACTATGGGGACGGACCGATTATCAGTGGGCAGTTCACAGAACTTCCGTTCTAGTCCTTTCATGCGTTTAGAGGTGACAAACCAGAAGAAAAATAAAATTAAAATACTCAACGTCTCAAAAATAACCGCGGTACCATCTATATACGAATTGTCTTAAAAGTCTTATGCATACAAAACGGATAAAGTAATTTGAGCAAAATCGTCACTAACACACGCACTTGTTTTTGACTCGCTATTCAAACGGTTTAACAGCTGCTAAAGTGATAATCTGTTTCTCTTAGCCTACAAAAGCCTCAGTATGGTCACGGATGGGTGTTTAGGGTTGCGGCCGGTCACCCTGCCCTTGCACCTCGCGAAAATCTCTCATACGACCAAGGGTCTCAAATAACCTCTACCGAGCAGGCCCTACTCACTGCCTTCTGATGGCGGAGATGTTTTCCCACAAAGTGAGAGAACGAGAAGCCGATATCCTGGGCTATAAACAGGTTGGTGGACCGCTGGTAGTTCACCTAGGGGAGTTGGCCAAAAGCCCTAATTCCAAGCCAACCAAGAGGAGGCGTACAAATCACACATACCTTCCCGGGAGTGGCGGTTGTGGTCCCGGGCCCTATTAGGCATCGAGGTGTATTGGGCCCGTTGTACGTTTAACCCTGTCTAAAGAGCGAATGATCCGAAGAACTAGACACCGGCCTCCAATGGACTGCGGTTTTCGCACACCGCCCCGCCTCCTTGCGGATCAAGCTCTGACTAGTCAAAGTCTCAGGTTGTGGGTTCCTCAAGAGAATTCATCTGTCTTGGCCTATGCAACCTGGTAGTATTTGACCCACAGGCAAACCACGAAACGTCTTTCTTTTTTATAAAGATTACTGTATCATGATTTTTTGGCACACAGTCTGGATTCCGACATGTTCGAAAATATATAAGATATGTATGTTTTACTTACTAGGGTAACCCAAAAGTGATACAACTAGATTGTCAGCAAACGAACATTGCTTATGTTTGCTTCTTCAAGACTTTCGTGGTCTGGGTTCCTCGTGGATCACCGCCAATACCCGAAGAAGTCATTCAACATGAACAATTATTCAGATCTATTTATTACCAGTTCCTCTATGTTTCACTCAATAATTTACTCTATTTGGTTTATTCCTTCCCTTTTCATTATAGTTTAGTCCGTGGACTCACGTAATGGAGTGTACCCGATCGTTTTTTCTAGCTACTACTGTGAGGAAATCAGGTCTTTTAATCCCTCTTACCAATCTGAACGGTCATTGCGTTCTCTCGTTATTTAACCGTTTTCGCTAATGTTTCATTTCTTATGCAGCCCGAACGATACGTTTGAGCTGGGCCTTCAATGTGTTTGGCATTCTTTTTCCTCCTCTGCTGGACAAGGTTACAATCTCGTGCCGGGTACTTGCTTAGGCGACCAACATACATATACGTATTATCAAGCAAATCGACTGGATATCGCTCATCACATGAGTGACACGCACCTTTGAGTATCTTTTCTGACCAATTTGCTCCCTCCATCGGATGATAATACTGTTTCCAGATTCCTAAAAGAAAAGTGGGGAAATAAATGAGCATAAGTTTGATCGGGTTGTTCGGCAAAACTGTTGGTTAGTAATTTAACCAAATCATCGAAAAACGTCAAAGGTCGGTACTTTTGGAGCACATGAGTGGATATGGCATTTTTGGAGTCGAACGTTTACATTCGAATTAAAGGCACAGCCGTATATGGTGGCCTGAATTCGGTTTTCCCGATCTGCAAAGAGCACCCTCTACCGGGCTGCTTCACTTGGTCATGTTTCGACTGATCTTGTTTAAATTTTATTATTACTTTCTCTGTGCCCCTTGATTTCTTCTTTGTGTCGGTTGTTCTTTTTTTATTTTCCTTCAGTTTGAACATCTGTACAACCTTGAGAAAGTTTCACTAATGAGATTCCCTAGCCTGACTATGAAACATCCACAAACGACACTTCCAGCCTGGAGAATGTACCAACGACAGATCGGCATCCCGAGCTACAATCATTTCACTTTATTGTTTCGTCCCACAATAAGACCGCATACAGTCAGTTGCGATTAGCAGACAATACGTAAAAATATGTCACAAAAGTCGTAAGATCATGCACAGTTAGAATTTACATTATAGTTTAGCTTATCTCGGTGTTTGTGTTATTATGTAGAGAATGAAATTCTTCAGTTTGGAGTATCAAGCTTGGATTAGCCCATTCGATCGTTCAGAGGCACCAGGCACTCTTGATGATCTTCTACAGTTTATTTTTGTGTGAATGTATTTCATAAATAACTTTAATCAATAAGCCCTTTGATTTCTATCGTATGTAAATGTCTCAGATTGTTGGGAGTTCACAATCTCCCAAGGAGTGAGACCCACACCCAAGACCATCAAGAGTGCCAGGCGTCTCTGAACGATCAAATGAGCTAATCCAAGCTTGATACTTTAAACTGATTAAGCCATTCGCATAAGGTGATAACCGTCAACCGTGTAGCTCAAGGGTAAGGGTCTGAAGTCCCAGCCCGAAGAAATGCGATTCGAATCCTGACAGGGACATGGAAAGTACGCACTGCTGCCGAGTCCCAAACAGGACGAAACAGCTGTTTAGTGCTCTTTGTTGGTTATCACAAACATTTCCATCGCATTAAAATGTATACACACAGTGGGGAATTTACGATCTCCCAAGGAGTGAAAACCACATGGAACATCATAAACAGTGCCTGGTGCCTGTCAGAAACCGAATGGGCGGATCCAAACATTCACCGTCTAAATTGTATAATGTTATTCACACCGAGATACATAATATTAAGACTCGAACTGTGAACCTTCGTGTTGAGAGTCTAAAATAATACCACACTATCTCGGGTTATATGGGTCAAAACAAGAAAAACTACAACAAGTGATTGTTTTACTTAGCCATCTGTTTAAGATTCCAACCAGCGGGAAGTGGCTGTCTAGCGCTTTGTTACCCGTAACCCGTCAAAACTAAACCTACGCACACAGTAAA